GCTAGAAGGCGACCCTAATCCTATGTACAATTGAACCCTGCCACACACTCATTTTTAGGTCACCTTAGCTTTAGCTCAAGTGACCGATTGCTATCCGTCTTCGTCCGTCGTCGTCCGTCGTCCGTTAACATTTTACATTTTCAACTTAAGCTGAAATACTGGCAAAGGGATTTCATTAATATTTCATGGGAAGGTCACTGACATCTCCTTGACCAAGTGTTGTTATTTTTCGGGTCGATCAGAAATCCAATATGGCCGCCCCGGCCGCCATTTTGAAAAACTATTTCAAACTTAAAGTCAATTTCTGCCTGGCCGATTGAACTGAAATCTGGTAGGAATGATCGACTCACGGTCCTGACAAAGTGTTGTTATTTTGGGTCGATCAGAAATCCAATATGGCCGCCACGGCCGCCATTTTGAAAAAAACTATTTCAAACTTAAAGTCAAGTTCTACTGGGACGATTGAACTGGAACTTTGTAGGAATGATCGACTCATGGTCCTGACAAAGTGGTGTTATTTTTCGGATCGATCAGAAATCCAATATGGCCGACACGGCCGCCATTTTGTAAAAAAGTATTTCAAACTTGAAAACAAGTTCTGCGGGGCCGATTGAACTGAAACTTTGTAGGAATGATCGACTCATGGTCCTTACAAAGTGGTGTTATTTTTCGGATCGATCAGAAATCAAATATGGCCGACACGGCCGCCATTTTGTACAAAAGTATTTCAAACTTGCAAACAAGTTCTGCGGGGCCGATTGAACTGAAACTTTTTAGGAATGATCGACTCATGGTCCTGACAAAGTGGTGTTATTTTTCGCGTCAATCAGAAATCCAATATGGCCGACACGGTCGCCATTTTGAAAAAAGTATTTCAAACTTAAAAACAAGTTCTAATAGGCCGATTTAACTGAAACTCGGTCTAGGAATGATCAGCTCATGGTCCTGACAAACTTCAGTTAACGTTATACTTAACTATTTTGTACTCAAATTGGTATTTCAACAACAAAAATAAATACTGTAGGACTTAGGTGACCATTTAGGCCCAAGTGTCTCTTGTTATATTTCCTATGAAATTGATAAAACTCGTCATAAATTTTTCATTTTTACTGCGTGCCAGAGGCTCACTTAATTGAAAAATTCTTAGGCTTGTTTCATAAATCTCACATGAAATGGAAACTCATGTAATATCCTATATATATATATGTAATTAATAATATTAGAAATATGTTATGCAATGTGTTTGAATGATAAATAAGTTTATTTAATTTGAAAAAAAAAAAAATGTAACTCATTTAATGCTTGTGTTTTTATATGCTTCACAGTACACACCTTTTGCCTAGAAATGTAGCTCAATACTGTACTGATCTGGCAATAAACTCATGCCTGGTAATGAACCCATGTCTGGTAATAAGCCTGGTACATAGCCTTTAGACTGCAGTAAAGAACTGGCAAGAAATATTATTTTTGAATGTCAAGTCCTCAGATTCACCAAGTTTTATCTGGTATTTCAGGATCAATTTATGGTATATATTTAAATGTCATATAAGAGATCTTTGCCTATGCTACATGTGACTTTCACAATCAGGGAAAACAACATAAGAGCAATCTTTATTTTCTTGTCAATAAGAGGCAGCGTATACAATGTACCTATATAAGAGTCCCTTTAATACAACATGTACTGTAAGTTTATATTTTGCATAATGCTAACTTGAAGATATTTTTGCTGTAAATAAAACTTTGTATACAGTATCGTCTAGTCATGTTTCCGCGCGTTATGTATTTCCGCACAGCCATTTTATCAAGCTATTATCTTGTAACTACGTGACCTACATATACTGGACACACCACAAGGATATTTTAGATGTTTGACCATCGTCTGTTAACTGACACAAAAATTACCGGAAGTTTGTCTGGAAAACATAAGAATTATTCACTGAATTGAAAACACGCATAAATATGCAGTTTTGCTTAATGCACTTTTCATCTTGCTCAAAATAAACCCATATCTGAAACAAGAGACCCAATGGGCCTGCATCGCTCACTTGGTATTAATCTTGTAATCTTAAAAGTGGACTAAAATACAGCTACAGGCAAAATACCAGTGTTTTTGATTCAAAAGAATCTATTAAAAGATTTAAACATGTGACACATTTGACCTTGAAAGTCAAACAAGGGCATTAAGTTGAACAGACTTTATAGCATTTCATACCAGCATGCTTCTGGCCAAATATAATTACCTCTGTGACCTTGCAAATGGGTGAAGGTCATTCATTTGAACCAACATGGTAACCCTTCATCCCAGCATGTTACTGACCAAATATCATCACCATGGTCCTTTTGGTTATATAGAAGAAGACGTTTACAGTTTTGAACATATTTGACCCCCGTGACCTTGAATATAAGTCAAGCTCATTCATTTGAACAAACTTGGTAGCCATTCATCCCATCATGTCACTGGCCAAATATAAACACCCTAGGCCCCTTGGTTATTCAGAAGAAGCTGTTTTAAAGGTTTTAAACATATTTGACCACTGTGACCATGAATATAAGTCAAGCTCTTTCATTTGAACAAACTTGGTAGTCCTTCATCCAAGAATGGTACTGTCTAAAACTATCACCCTAGGCCTCTTGGTTATTCAGAAGAAGTTGTTAAAAATATTTTAACATATTTGACACCTGTGACCTTGAAATGGACAAAGGTCATTCATTTGGACAAACTCGGTAGTCCTTTGCTCCATCATGTTACTGGCCAGATACCATCACCCTATGCCCTCTTGATTATTCAGAAGAAGTTGTTTTAAAGGTTTGAACATATTTTACCCCTGTGACCTTGCATATATGTCAAGGTCATTCATTTGTACAAACTTGGTAGCCCTTTATCCCAGTATGCTACTGACCAAATATCATCACCCAAGACCTCTTGGTTATTCAAAAGAAGTTGTAAAAATGTGTTAAACATATTTGACCCCTGTGAACTTAAAAATGGAAGAAGGTTATTCATTTGAAAAAACCTGGTAGCCCTTCATCCCAGCGTGTTACTGGCCAGATGTCACCCCCCTAGGCCCTCTTAATTATTCAGAAGAAGTTGTTTTAAAGGTTTTGAACATATTTGACCCCCGTGACCTTGAATATAAGTCAAGGTCATTCATTTGAACAAACTTGGTGTGCCTTTATCCCAGCATGCTACTGGCCAAATATCATCACCCTAGGCCTCTTGGTTATTCAGAAGAAGTTGTTAAAATTAAAGGTTTAAACATATTTGACCACTGTGACCTTGAATATAAGTCAAGCCCATTCATATGAAAAAACTTTGTAGCCCTTCATCCCTGAATGTTACTAACCAAATACCATCACCCTAAGCCTCTTAGTTATTCAGAAGAAGTTGTTAAAACGATTTTAACATATTTGACCACTGTGACATTGAAAATAGACAAAGGTCATGCATTTAAACAAACTCGGTAGTCCTTTATTCCAGCATGTTACAGGCCAAATATCATTACCTCGGCCTTTTGGTTATTCAGAAGAAGTTGTAATAAACGTTTTTAACATATTTGACCCCTGTGACCTTGAATATACATGTAAGTCAAGATCGTTCATTTGAACAAACTTGGTAGCCCTTCATCCTAGCATGTGAGACACTGGCCAGATATCATCACCCTAGGCCTCTTGGTTATTCAGAAGAAGTTGTTTAAAGTGACAGACGACAGACACCGCGCCACGGCATAAGCTCACTTGCCCTTCGGGCAGGTTTGCTAAAAACGGTGACACATGTATATTTCATTCATGAACCAGTCTTTTTTGTCCTCTGACAAACGTACGAAAATGTAGTATGCAAATGAGGCCACATCTCCTTGTCAATTTTTTTCCGCTTTCAAAGAGCCAAAAGGAGACATTCTTATATCGATACACAGTGTTTGCAATGAAACGTAAACCTTGTAATGCAATTAACTTCCAATCATCACCCTAGGCCTTTTGGTTATTAAGAAGAAGTAAATTTAAAGAAAAATATTGACGCCGGCCGGACGGACCCGTACGACGGACGCCGCACCGCGGGCCAGGTGAGCTTAAAATCAATGAACAATGTGAAATTTAATTATTATATTTTATTCCAAACGAAGCTTTAAATATTCTTGTAGGTCACTGTAGAGAATTTCTTTTTAGTGTATTCGAGTTATCTTTCTTAGAACGCTAAATCAAAATAGACACACGGAAACATATGACGGCTACTTCCGACGGAAGAAATTTGTTAAAAATTGTTTGGTCCGAAGGACCATGGTGAGCTTATGCACTACCGCAGCCTCCGTCGTCCGTCCGTCAACTTTTCCTTTAAAACGCTACTAGTCATGAACGACTGAGCAGATGTTGACCAAATTTGGTCAGAAATGGGGGCTGAGGGGCGGGGCCCAATTGGGGAAATATAGCAAATTCTTTAAAATCCTTCTTCTTCTGTAGGAATGAAAGGAGTTGTTCCATGTTTGGTCTGAAGCATCCTTGGGTGAAGGGGAACCATTTTTTGTATAAACGGTGCGACTGGCCCCCATGGGGAGCGATACACAGTACAGGCCCTCTGGTCCTCTTGTTTTAAATACAATTTTATGTTGCTAGTTTATTGTTTCCATTAGTAGATTGTATACATGTTTATGACAGACATCCGTAATTTCAACAGGTTTCTGCCGATATGAGTAGGAAATCGCGGTTGCTTCTTAAGTTAAGTGCGCGGAAACGGGTAAGACGAGGATATTCCTATTTTTGTCAATTTGATTAAATGTATTGCTTAAATTAGTTATCCATATTGTTATTGCTTGTCGCCTCGATACAGTTTAATTAAATCGCTTATGGATATTCAGGGACATAATCCGATTTAGATAGAAAATTCGTAGAAGTTTGTAAATAGATTTTATTGGAAAACACATTTGAAACGGTCCCCAAAGTCTTGGGTTAGTCTGAATCGATTTGACGCTTTCGGGTTCTCCATCAACGCAAACAAAAATCTGAGTCAGACGTGCGTGGATAGGGAAAACCTGCTTTCTGTTTGAGCAGGAGGGCGATGAAATTGTTGGGAAAACTTGTGTCTGTTTTGTGGATCAACAGCGTTACCAGAGAGATGTAGTCACTTTTATGATTGCCAGGTATTGTTTTGTCACGTGTATATAAAAGTAACGAATTTACCGACAATAATCATCTAGCTATAGGCCTATATGTAGGCACAAGGTAAAGTGATCCAACAGCAACCAGAGGAATTATATACGGGCAAATTTTTACCTTAATACTTATTTTGTATGAATAAGAAGTTATTAATATCATTTATTGTATTCGCCAAATTCTTGTCATTCATGTTTGATACATTTACCAGTACATGTATATTGTATGACAGGCTTGTCACTGTTTGGACACGCTTGATATTATGTTCTTCCTGGTTGAATAGGAACCGTATATTTTACCTAAAATGGTCGATAAAACGCATCAACACTTATTTTCTTTTATATTTTCGTGTATAAACCATGTCTTACAGGAAGGGTATTTTAAAATATCATGTCAAACAAAAATAAGAACAATACTGAGGGTGGAAGCTCCTATAGACAACTATAGACAATAATCTGGTATTTCCTTACTTTCGTTTTCGATTTAACATCGTAAAACTTCAATGACTGTAGTAAATTCAACTTTTAATGATATTTCCAAGCTTTTCATAGTTCAAAGTAAGAAATTTATAAAAAAAAAGTCTCTCCAAGATTCTAATCTCGCCTCTCTATATACTTTATTGTAACTTACACAAGTGCACATGAACACAACTATAGAGCTCAACTCGCCCCCCCCCCCCCCCCCCCCACACACACACTCCAAAATAGTATTAAAAAAATTCACATGTACAATTGTGTGGAGAGATGGAGAGATAAGTTAGACAGAGCTCCCTTCTCCGATTTCTAGTGGAGGCATTGCATGGGAAAACTTTGACTCCATTACATTGTAAACATTAACTTAACAGGAGCAGACAATGCACAGTCAGACCTGGGTTTGAACCTCAGGGACCCTTTGAACTCTAGATGGACGCTCTTACCAATTGAGCTACCTGGTCTCTGGGGATCCCATTTATATTGGACAGGATTAATTATCATTTGTGACCAGTTGGTAGATTAATTGAATCGGTAGAGTATCAGTCTAGAGTTTGGAGGGTCCTGGGTTTGAATATTGGTCTGGACATGTGTTTTCTTTTCCTGTTACAGTGGTGCCTCATGCATACCTACAATTATTTTAAATACTGTACTGGGTGATGTGTTGAATCGGTAAAATCAACTGTAAAAATTAAAAAAGACATTTCGACAAATACAAAATGTAGCACTCTAATACTGCAGACGGCCAGGGGGATGGATATCATGTTGACCCATTCTCACCCCATTTTAACATCCGCTAAGGGGCAGAATGGGTCAACATGTTATCTGTCCCCTGATCATGACTGCCTGCAGTAGTGTAAGAGCGCTATTTGGTGAAATGTCTGATTTTTGACAGTTGACTTTACTGATTCAACACAGTGAACACACCATGTGAGTTAGTGTGCGATGATTTCCAAAGCTTACAAAATAAGTTTTCAATTCCTGTTTGTGTTCAAAACAAACTTAACCTTTAAATTATGTTTAATTTTATCCAAATTTTGAAATTGATAACCCATGGTTTTTACTAGTAATGCTGTATTCTTTTAGCCAATAATTGCTAATGCTCTCTGATTTCACTAGACAGAAACAACTTATTGTCACAAAAATTTAGTTCCAATATACAGATTAATATAATAATTTAGACAGGAAATGAAATGTAAATTTTCCTTTTGAAAGTTTCTGTTTTTAGGTCACCTGAGACAAAGTCTCAAGTGACCTATTAATATATATTGCGATCGTCTTTTGTTCGTCGTCGTCCGTCGTGCGTCCGTAAACAATTTACATTTTCGACTTCTCCAAAACCCCTGAACCAATTTCGATGAAATTTTGCAGAAATCTTCCATGGCCAAAGGTCAACACAAATAGTGATTGATATGGTCCCCAGACCACAGGGACCTGAGGGGCGGGGCCACAAAGGGTCAAATTTACTAAAATTTCAAAAATCTTCAGACCCAGATATGGTAGAATCAAATACTCTTCATAGATGGAAGGGTCATAAGGTGCTTTACCAAATTGTGAATTTCTTGACCCTTGGGTCTCACGTTTCCCCCTGGGGAGGGGGTAAACTTTACTATGGTATATATAGGGAAATCACATTTTGGACCAACATTTGTTTAATTTCCATTGGAAGTAATTCAATTTGGGTTAGCATTATCAGTATTGGATAGCAGTTTGATTGAATGCACATATCAGCCCCAACTGACCCCCAGGGGCTGATGGGTGGGGCCAAAAAGGGTTGAATTATCTGAAATTTCAAAAATCTTCTTCTCAAGACCCAGATATGGTAGAATAGATGGAAGGGTCTTAAGGTGCTTTACCAAAATTGTGTGAATTTCATGACTCTGGGGTCTCACGTTTCCCCCTGGGTAGGGGGTAAACTTTACTATACCCAAGGGCTGGAGGGTGGGGCCCAAAGGAGTCAGTGTGCTAAAATCTCTTCATTTTCCTTGTTGAGAATCAGAGGTGCGTTGAGTTTCAAATACTTTTCAGTCTTAAATCTGTATGCTAGATATTAAATAAGGTTGTTTTATTGTTTTTTGTCTCTTTGAATAATACTTCTGTTCATGTGTTAAAAACAAAAATCAACTCTCTGTATAAATATATCAGATCTCGGGTGACCGTTGAGGTCCATGGGGCTCTTGTCTTAAGTTAAGTTCATAACCAATGAAAGGCAATCCTTATGTGCATCAGGATTACAAAGAATTACTAGTTTTAAAAAGAAGGTTTCTGATATATTATAATTGGCATTTATGATTTATTTTCTTCAGGTGACTTCAAAAAAAGAAATGTGGTTATTGAAAGTATAAAAACCACATAATGATTATTTGAGTGACTAACCCTCCCAACGTTTGTGAAAGGAAATGTTTTTGGTGACAAAACGGAGGTAAACAGAGGAACAATGGATGACAAGGATGATATCGATGATGAAGATGATGACAAACCTAGCTTTAGTTCAAACATGTCTGGACCGCCCAGCTTGGCCAGGAGGGTAGGAAACATGACAGGTTCTACATCAGTGGCATATTTGAGCCCAATGGATCGAATGGACTCCAAAGAGTTATTGTTCAGTTTATTGTTCACCACTTCCACTGATCAGCCTAGCAGCAGGTTCAGCAGTTCAGTAGGAAGACATGCCACACCATATGATGATCCAGATGAATATTTCTCCACTCCAACCTCTTTACCACCCCCTCCTACAGTCAAGGCCACTTCTGAAGGTCACAGTCAGCCAAAAGAAGAAGAGACAGTGAGGGATCTAGAAATCAAAATAGAAGAGCTTCAAGCACGACTTGTAGAAAAAAAGATGTTAGAGAAAAAAGAACAGTTACCTTCTTCAGTGAACAACAGTGTCCAAGGTCGAAGTTCAGACAGTTCAGACAACAACGATTACGATACAATTGTGAAAGTTGAAAGGTCAAACAGCAATGAAGGACAAGAAGAATGGAAAAAGCCGTCAGAGAAGGCAGGAGATAGCAGAGACGTTGTGATAGAGAACAATGTTCATGCTCCATTCATATCTGCTAACGCGAAAGAAGTCCCCATTTCTAAACTCCTTAAGAAAGACTCGTTCAATAAAATTAAATTCAATCAGGAAGACTTCCTGAATTCTATATTGTCCAGTCCTCAAACAAGTGTCAAGAGAGTTTCAGAAGGGGAGGGAACTGGAGCCTGCAAAATTCCACCTCATGCAAAGAAGCATGGTATTGGAATATCAAACAAAGATATGCAGCCGATACCAAAGCAGATTGCTGATGGAGTAATTAAGGATTTCAAGAGTGCTGGAAGATTTGAGGAAGGAATCGGAAGGAACGTGGATTCTGGCTGGGAAACTATTGAAGAAGGCGTGTTTGAAAATAAGTTTCTTGAGACTGACATACCACAGGAGGTGGTAGAAATAGCACTTCCACCAGACCCTAATATTCCACATACAAGGAGCAGAAGGACTGAAGGCTACGATTACACTGAACAAAACAGTTTTGATTTTGACAGAATGAATCCAATTGATTCCAAATCCAACTCGGTTGACAACTTTCAAAATGAAAATATCCCTGGAAAGACATTATCAACAAATGAAAATTGCCCAGACAGCAGGAATCAGTCTATGTATTCCAAAGAATCCGTGGAATATTCGGATCTCCCACCCCTGAAGTATCCAGATCATTCCCCTATCAATCCACCATCTACTGCTGGAGATGGGCAAAACCCTTTATTATCCAATCTTAGCAACGAGAAATCTGGTCATAGCACACAATTACCTCCGAAGAAGAAGTCACAGGAAATGACATCACTGTCTGGTGAGAATTTTACTTTCACATCGGAGCTTAATAAAGATGATATTTCTGGCTATCAGGAGTTCACCAACAGTACTAAGATCAGCTACAGTAATAAGGTCACAGGTGAGTCAACCTTTAGCTAATTTTGGGGTTTATTTTGTTTTGAGCATGTACAGTTGATTCCTTGATGGCTGATTTCGAGCTATCAATATTAGGGCGGCAACCATATATGGTATCGTCATACATTCTTGTGTATTGTATCAACTTTTTTGTACTTAAATTATCAATCCATTTTTATCAAACTCTAAAAAATTGAAGTTTAATTTTTTGAAATCTTCACTGAAGATGTGGTCCACTGTGCAGTCCTACTGACCTTGACAGAAAGATTTGATATGAAAAAAAAATATCAATTTAAAAACGATTTTACCTCTCTGTTACAACTCATAAATGTATTTTAAAATGTATTCATCATTTGCCACTTCAGTACAGACTATAGATATAATGGATTTGGTACAAGCAACATGTTTCGTTTTACATTGAAATCTGCAAAATACACAACCGGTTAAAAACGAAAGCATGGTGTTCTTTCAGCAACAGAACGATCTTTTGTTTTATGTTAAGCCATCTAGATATCTTGATATTTTGTTATGTTTACATCATATTCCATAATCATGTGTTATATTATTCATCTTTAATTCACTCATGAATACATAATTCTTTATAAAAAAAACCAATACAGAATCACAGTACTCGGTAAAGAGTACATGTCGCTACATATGCTATTTAATTTACTATTGTGCCTTATTCAGAAACAAAGTTATTTGTAGTATTTAAACTTGGTTTTATGTTGTTTTGCATTCATTTAGCTAATTTGCTTATGTCAGAGACAAAAATTTACGTACATTTTGTTTTTGAGATGGAGGCAAAATTAGGGAAGGGGCTTAATTGCAGGCACCCACTCTGTTCCCGGGACATTTACCAAAGTGGGGAGGGGGCTTATTGGCGGTAAAATACGTTAAAAGTACTAAAAATTATGCAAAAAATATATTTCTGTAGTATTTACTATATTGAAGTGTATGACAAAACTCAATAAAGTCCTGTACTAAGTAGGGGTGTAACGATACACCAATACACAGATACACCGATACACCAAGATATATGAAGCGACAATTAACTCATCCACCCCTGAAGACACATTTGAACTCTTCCAATTCCAAGACTGGAATAGTTCACTATGACATTTCAGGGGTAAATCACGTCTATATGTATTGGTTGTACACGATACAGTCAATAATTAACCATCTTTTAATGCCATATTGCAGCATTTTAACTTAATAATGAATATGCACCCGTGTGTTGCATTTTTGTCCGCAGATTTTCGAATGTGAAAGTGTTGCTGCTATATCTTGTGTGGAACTCTTTTGTCACTGGTGTGTTTGTAAAAATGGCGGATGCGGAAGAAATTTGTATTAACATCTTGTCGGTCCGGCATGTGGGCCAAGTTTGGTTTTTATAATGTTTTAATATCACTAATAAAGAATTAAAGATGTATTGTATCGTGAGTGATGTATCACAACACGTATCGTATCCTGGCACAGTGTAGCATTACACCCCTAGTACTCAATCATTATGATGTTGACCATTTTAGCAGATATTTGAATAGTGATATGTATCATATCATAAGCATCTTGCCATGATACATATATCTTATCGTGAGGTATGCATCCTTGCAGCCCTACGATATATGTGAGTCTGTTTGAATTTCCGTCACCTTGGAGCATAAGAATACAAAGCTATTTCTTTCTATTAAGTAGTGTTGTGCCGATGATCGGGAATAATCGATTAACGGTTGGTGAATTTTTGCATTAACTCATTTAGTGGAGTGTCAGATAAGTGTAAAAGATGTGGATTGATTAGGTTGCTTTACAAGCGTCAGTTGTAGGGAATTTCCCTTTAGCTCAGCAGTAGAGCATTGGGCTGGAAACAAGGGTCGCTGGTACAAGCCCCAGCGATGGCACTATCTTTATCACTATTCCTTGTCCTACAAAAAACTGGTGCCGTTCACCCTCCCCGTTCAAGGTAGGAGAACCCTTGGTGGGGAGTCAAAGAACCTGGGTTGGTGTTTGAAAAAAGGGGGAATAGTGTAAAAGATGTGGATTGATTAGGTTGCTTTACAAGCGTCAGTTGTAGGGAATTTCCCTTTAGCTCAGCAGTAGAGCATTGGGCTGGAAATAAGGGTCGATGGTACAAGCCCCAGCGATGGCACTATTTTTATCACTATTCCTCGTCCTACTACAAACTGGTGCCGTTCACCCTCCCCGTTCAAGGTAGGAGACCCTTGGCGGGGAGTCAAAGAACCTGGGTTGGTGTTTGAAAAAAGCGGGAATAGTGTTAAAGATGTGGATTGATTAGGTTGCTTTACAAGCGTCAGTTGGAGGGAATTTCCCTTTAGCTCAGCAGTAGAGCATTGGGCTGGAGACTCCAGCCAACTGTAAGGGGTTTGATCCCCAGCGACGGCACTATCTTTATCACTATTCCTCGTCCTACTACAGAAGTATTTCCAGAGGAACAGGGTTTGATCCTTAGCAGAAACATTGGAAAAAAGACAACTACCTACCCAATTGCCCCAAAAAAATATGCATCTTTATTCCCTGTATTATACACTTCCCTCCCCCTCATAACTAAATACTTCCTTAAAACTCAGTGAGGTTACTCTGACAGATCTGTGTAACCACTATACAATCATATAGCTTACAGGGTCCAGGTGCTGGCTCACTAGAGAAAGGTCAAATGTCCCATATCCGTTAAGGTCTTAAAAACTTCCTTGTTATGAAAAATACCAAAGTTAAATTTGATTTAAATTCATCACCAGAGATTTTTTTTGTATGGTTTATACTAGGTATGCCATATATAACGCCATTTTTTTGTCAGATATGGAAACGTATAAAATAACTCTATGTATAAAATAACTCTACGTATAAAATAACTCTATGTATAAAATTTAGTATATCTCATGTTTTAGTCACTATTTTAATTGACGATTGCAAGGCTAAGAAATACAGTGGTGTTTTTCCGCATCTGACAATTAATTAACAACTTTATCTTCCATAAATTGCCAAAACACCATGTTTAAAATGCACACGCCTTTTCATGGTCATTTCCAGGGAGCTGGAATATACATTTGCCTGCCGCGGTATCACGTTTTTGAACGTTTGTCTGCATATTATACAGCCGAATACTGGAAAACCCCAGCAAAAAAATCTTTATTCTCCGAAAATGTAGAAAAAAGTTGAGGAAAATCTTCCCATGTTGATGAAAAATTTATTTTCCCAATTCAAGTTGGAACTGGCAGCTGTACAAATTTAGGAAGAAAAAAATACTGATAACCACTTATGACGATGTCACATACATATACTGTTTCTGATAATTGTTAGAGGTCAAAGGTCACTTAATTTTCATGTCTTAACTTCCTCATTATGGCAAATTTCTAAGTGGAATTAAATATAAATTCATCACAACTTAACATTGTGTTATCAAACTACTCTCACTTTTGCACTTTGTTTTCTTGCTGCTGCTTTACAAAAGGTCAAGGTCACAAAAAAAACCGCCTGTCAAAGATCAGAATGATGTCAGTGTTTCATTCTCCTTTCAGTGTTGGTCAGTTTTTTTCTATCTGAATTTTTCAAGGTCTGTTCCTACATGAGTGTGGGAATATATAGAATGATTTTTATTAAAATTGGGAAAGTATTCTTTATTTTGGGAAAATAAAATTTTTTGTCTAGGGGAAGCAGCCTGTATTTGACTGTAAAACTAAGCCAAAAAAATGACCGGCAGCGCTAGCTAAGAGGTCACTGTCCCCCTGAACCCTTAAATGCATTTGTTCCCCCCCCCCCAAACAGCTAACTGTACCCCTATTCAACAAAGACTGACCTAGTACCTAGGGGCACAGAACCTTGAAAATCTATAGAATATACTACCTAATAGAAAAACTCATGGGAGCACTCATTTTCGCTAGCCAAGGGTAACAATCCAGTAGAATTTACCTACTTTTATAGGTAGACTGGATCTTACCAGATCGTACTACCCTTGCATATTGGCTAGCGATGATGGGGAACACTAAATGGATAAGGGTATCTAGCTGTTCACTTGTTGATGTTCATCCGGGGGCTGAAATTTTATAGTGAACTATTCAAACCTTTGATTGGAAGAGTTCAAATATATGTGTCTTTAGAGGTAAATGACTTAACTGAAGGCAGCTCCTGCAAAAATCCTCAGAATTGATTGATATATGTATTGATTGTATGATATTCTACATCTACAGTCAAACTTTTGTAAATGAAACTTTGAAATGTTCAATCTTGTCAATGTGTAAAACTTACAGCAAACTACAGAAGTTTTCCCGTATTTAACACTACTACCGTTAGTATTCTTATCGCAAATCAAACTTTTACACCTCAAATTTCTCGCTGTTTTGAAGTATATTCAAGGGCCATTCATTATATGGAAACCATTGAAAATTACAACTGATTAATTGAAGTGAAATATTCACCTGTACTAGAACATTTAAATATCCTGTGATTTCAGAAAGTTTTCCCAGGTGTACAGTATTTTATGGGTGTGTGGTTTTTCAAAAGAAATTTAGAAAAGTTAAATAAAATACCATAATGGATCTTAGAAGAACTTAAGCGCTCACAGCTATCATCAACAATTCAAGCACTGCATGCCCAACCACTTACTCATTTACAGCTGAGTAGACTGGAACAAGCAGAGTAAAATATCTTGTTCAAAGGTACAACAGAGTGCCGTGCCGTGACTCGAACACGCAACGTTTCGGTCAACTGTTCATCCTAAGTATTATTAAATCGACACCATATAGATCTATGTGTTATTTAATCCAAGCTTTCTCTTGCCTGTTTACAGGGAATAGTTCCCATCACACAGTGCCGTGCCGTGACTCGAACACGCAACGTTCAAGTCACGAGCGCAGCTTCCTACCACTAGCCTATGACTACTGTTCATCCTAAGTATTAATGAATCGACACCATATAGATATATGTGTTAGTTAATCCAAGCTTTCTCTTGTCTGTTTACAGGGAATAGTTCCCTTCACACAGTGCCGCGCTATGCTAGCTACATGTCATCACTGCAGTCACTATCAGATCACCATGGATTCGTCATCAAAGATGTCACTCCGGATGGAAATTGTATGTTCAGTGCCATTGTTGACCAGCTACGCATCCAAGGCAACTTTGACCTCACTCCGAACTCACTCAGAAAAACAGCCGTGGAGTAAGTGTTCTTATGTTCTGCATTAAGCCTTGTATTTTTTTTTTTTTTTTTTTTAAAGAATATTACCTTCACAGCTTGGAAAACTCTTTGCTAGATGTGAAGTCCAGGGTTTGGTAGATGTGAAGTCCAGGGTTTGGTAGATGTGAAGTCCAGGGTTTGGTAGATGTGAAATCCAGAGTTTGGTAGATGTGAAGTCCAGGGTTTGGTAGATGTGAAGTCCAGGGTTTGGTAGATGTGAAGTCCAGGGTTTGGAAGATGTAAAGTCCAGGGTTTGGTAGATGTGAAGTCCAGGTTTTGGTAGATGTGAAGTCCAGGGTTTGGTAGATGTGAAGTCCAGGCTTTTTGCCTTTTTTTTGGGAAAGGGCCTCTGAGCAGGATCGTAAAAATATCATCGGCATTTGGCAAAATTTGGAAAATATCATCAGTGTTCCCACATGCAAAGGTTTGGGAAAATATCAAAGTTTGGAAAACATAAAACCTGCAATGTGATAAGCAAAAAAAGAATTCCTCTAGCTGTTTCTCATAGTCAAATGTATAGCAATAAACTTTATTGTTTATTCAATTTTTGTTATTTATGTATTTTATATGCTCCTTCATGGACGGTAATACTTTGAATCTTACGCAAATAATGACTTGACACTTGTATAAACATGCTTTCTAATCCAATTTGGAAAATAAACACTAGAATTGGGAAAATACAGGGTATTTTTTAAACTGAGTCCCTGTACTGACCTATAAACACCTGTCTAAAGTCCAGAAGTCAAACATGCAAATAATATTGGGATTCAAAATTTTGAACAGAACCTTATGATCAGACTTGGAATTAACTAATTAAATTTTACAAGCAAAACAAGTTCAAAATTCGACAGTCCCTGCAGGTGTGTAGTCAACAATGTGAAATTTGATAATTGAACTGTTCTCATGGAATTATACAATTGGAATTGAATTTGGCAGTATTGTTTTTACTCAGGATGTTATAACTAGTGTATGCATATTTCTTTCAGGGCAATGTTTTTTGGGGGGGGTGTGTGCATTGAATATTTTAATTGGTCGTTTATTACCATAAAAACCCGTGTAATTTGCAAACCTATGTAATTTGCGCAGGTACTTTTTGAAGCTGAATCCCCAAAAAAACTTCTACTCAAATATTTTGCGCACTAAGATTTTTTGGGAAAAAAAAAAGATGTTCAAATTCCGAAAATAGATCTCTGAAAATGAGAGACAAACCACTTGGGATTCTTAGGATTTTGTTTGTTTTTGTTATTATAAGTGAGTTAGAAGTATTGTTTACAGGTACAATGATGTTAAAACTAAGGAGAAACTGCGTAAAATGTGTATTTTGTTGTTTGTTTCCTTTGAAATATCTGATCACACGTGACACACATGCGCATATCGGCATACATCAATTCATTTTAGCAATATTTTACATAAAAAAATAATTTGCTAACAAAAACATATCAATTAATAAGTAATTTGATGTTTAGTAACCGCTGGTGCATATCTCCTGGTGAAAGACATAATTAGGTACCTTTTATTGATCATAATTACGATCAGTGAGAAAGGCTCATAATGGCGGCTTTGAGACCCATACTTGCTACCAAGCTAGTACATTCTAAAATGTCAGCCCTTCCTTAGATACGGCGATAGTCACTGGGGAACATCTCAGAACCGGAAAAAAAGGAATCTAATAATTGAAAGCTTTTTAACTTACACTAGCAGTTTTAACTCATCCACCCCTGAAGACACATTTGAACTCTTCTAATTCAAAGGTTGGAACAGTTCATTATGAAATTTCAGGGGTGAATGAGTTAAGATGTGCTGAAGTTTTGATCATTTAACAATACTACCTTTTTCATCAGGTACCTGAGAGCTAACCCTAAGAACCAGGATGGTACTCATCTGGAGTCCTTCCTGTCCACAGAAACTTGGCTGGAGTACCTCAACCGCATGGGGCAGGAGTCGCAATGGGGCGACCACATGGTACTGCAGGCCTGTACCGAGGTAAGATAACGTGGGACTCCACAATGGTGACTCCTGTAGTTTGTGGGAAAGAATCATTCTTCTGTATCATTTCACCCCTAAAAACACATTTAAGCTCTTCCAATGCAAAGGTTGGAATTGAGATTAGTCCATTATGAAATTTCAGGGGTGAACGAGTTAATGGATGTTATTCTCAGAGGCCACTAATGTGTCCCCTTCCTGCAGAATTAGCTATTTTCTTCTGTATCTTCTGCTTAAGGTGCATCAAAAAAACCGAAATAGACCTGCTGCCTTGACAGTCAGAAAACAGGGTCATTCCAATATATCCCCCCTTCTCCATTTATGTTTGGGGGTGGGGGGATATAGGAATGAACCTGTTGTCTGGCCGGAATATTGTGTCAGGTGTACTTCAAAAAATACTGAAGAGGTTTCTTTCGAACTTTGCATACTATTCTCCTATTATATGGTGAAAAGGATGGGAACTTGAGTTGTCTGTCTGTAGACACAATTTTGTCTGCACAACTCCTACAGTTTAAGCCAAAAATCATTAAAAATTTGCTGATATATTAAGCAAAATTAGAAGTTGTGCACTAGCGATTAAAATGTGATGGTGTTATGCCCCTTTTAATGAAAGTTAGTCAAAATTTGTCCGAGGCATATCTTCTATACTTTTTCACCTGGAGTAATTTGATTTGGCATGCAATTAAATCATAGGATGGCAGAGTACAATAAATAGGTTACGGTTGCCTATGATTTGGCCTTTGACTTGAACCTCATCTATCCTGTTTCACGTTGAGGACCAGAGTTGGTACGAATGCAAGTCTGATTTGGCTGGTGGAGTGCAGAGTACCAGAAGTATGTCACTGTGACCTATATCCTCAGATGAGTGTACTGCTCTGTAAATAAAGAAATCATTACAGAATGGGGACCATGGATTGCCTCATGTTCTAGTTCACTCCTCTCAAACGAACATAAATCATTTATCATATAAACTCAAACTCATTACTGGGAGTTCGTCCGCCTAGCTAAACGAGGACTACATTTATTCACTTTATACAATGATAAATAGAAATTTCAAACACCGAGTCTCAAACTTTACATTCTTTGTCTTCACCTCGATCTGGCTTTGAACTGTTCAGAACGTCCATGGTGTGATCATCCATTAAAGATTATGCAATCACAAAATGAAAGACACAGAAACATGCATTTCCGAAAAGGGGCGGGTGGGTGGGAAAGTCTGTATCGTTCAATTGCTAGGCAGACACAGACCCCAGAATGTGTCATCACTGTCCTAAACTTACCTATCGCACATGCCTCTACTGTGGCACCTGCTGAACTCTGACCCAGACTTATCCATACACTCATTTACATAACTATGATAAATTTATTTTCAAATTCTTTGCCAAGCTTGTTCATTTAAAATGCCTTGCATTTACCGAGCCAGGACAAGTAAAACCAACCAAGGACTAGTTGATAATTTCTACACTAGTTCTTCAGACTAGGTAAGGGAGATAATTAGTGTCTAACCCGGACTTAGATCCTTCAATAGTTTTCCTTTAAATGTTGTGAAAATATTGTAAAAAAAACATCCCTGAAAGGGTTACATATTTAGCTATAAAGGAAAGTGCACTGGCAAAGTCTGATCATGGGGGGAAAAGTTGTGAGATTTCTATTGTGACTTATTAGTCCCGTCATATTGCAGGTGACTGGTCAGCGCATTGTTGTGTTCAAACCGAACACCAACAAAACTGTCTTGGTACCCACAGCCGAGGAATCTTTGGAGAACACAAGCCTTACTCTTGGACACATTGGGGAGTCGCATTTCGTCAGTCTCCGTCCAAAAGATTGGGAAACCAATTGGCCTCTCAGTATGTATATTACTGGTTCAACCCAGAACCCCATCATTTTGTATAATATCCTGATATTATTTCATGTCACAGTAAGGTAACATTCATTCTTAAATATTCATGTCCCAGTTATGTAGCATACGTCTTTTGTCACAATAAGGTAGCATACACCCTTAAATCTCCATGTCACAGATAGGTATCATACATCTTTAAGTCTTCATGTCACAGTAAGGTAGCATACACCTTCAAGTCTTTTTCACAATAAGGTAGCATACATCTTTAAGTCTTGTGTCACAGTAAGGTAGCATACACCTTCAAGTCTTTTTCACAATAAGGTAGCATACATCTTTAAGTCTTCATGTCACAGTAAGGTAGCATACACCTTCAAGTCTTTTGTCACAATAAGGTAGCATACATGTACATCCTTAAGTCTCCATGTCACAGATAGGTAGCATACATCTTTAAGTCTTGTGTCACAGTAAGGTAGCATACATCATTAAGTCTTGTGTCACAGTACGGTAGCATACATCTTTAAGAATTCATGTCACAGTAAGGTAACATACATCCTCAAGTCTCTATGTCTAAGTAAGGTAGTATACGTCCTTAAGTCTTTTTTCACAATAAGGTAGCATACATTCTTAAGTCTTTATGTCACAGTTATGTAGCATACATCTGTAAGTCTTATGTCAAAGTAAGCTAACATATATCCTCAAGTCTCTATGTCAAAGTAAGGTAGTATACATCCT